TATCTCTTGCTGTTGCATCAAGCCGGTGTCTTGGAGTCTTGGGTCTTCGCCGTCCACTCGGGGCAGAACAGGACCAGCAGTTTGGGGGTCCTTCAATCACGACATATAAATTGAGAAACACACTTAACATACTATAGTGAATTTAGAGTTCGGAGTACTGGGATCCAGACTATGGATCAAAGTGACTTCAGACAAATCATTTTTTTGTCTTCATCTAAAATATTAGGAAGTTTGTCTTATCTATAATATTGGGAATGGTATCGACGTATCGACTTAACCCTGTAGCCTATGACTTAATAAAATAAAATCAATCTAGTGATTGGATATCTTCTGGTTATAATGTGCTCATGGGAATTGGAAAATCAAATGGGTCAAACTTGTTCAGCATTTCTTAAGCTGAGGGAACTAAAGGGCAAATTCAGGCCTCAAGTTGCAATACTTAGTGATGACCAAAGAAGCATCAAAAGAAGATGGAAGGACTACACAGAGTTATTATAACAAAAAGAATTGTTGTTGTTGTTGTTGTTATGTGCTGACATAAAAGAATGATGATCAAGAGTCTATGGTGATGAAGGAGGAAGTTCAAGCTGTTCTGAAGGAATTGGCAAAAAACAAGTCCCCAGAATTGACGGCATAACAATTGACATATTTCAACAATAGATTTTGCTTCCCTGGACATGCTCACCAGGTTGTGTCATTAAAATTGGAGGACAGCCAACTGGCTAACTGACTGGAAGAGATCCATATTTATTCTCATTCTAAAAAAGGTGACTTGACAGAGTGTACACATTATCAAACTATATCATTAATATCACATTCTAGCCATGTTCTTCTGAAAATTATCCACAAATGACAGCACATCAAGAGAAAACTGCCAGACAGGCAGGCTGAATTTAGAAGAGGCCATGGCGCTAGGGACATTACAGCCAATGTTATATGGATCTTAGCTGAAATCAGAGAGTAGCAGGAAAAAAAAGTCTATCTGGGTTTCATTAACTATGCAAAGCATTTGACTGTGTGGATCACAGTAAACTGTAGCTGGCTTTGAGAAGAATGGGACCACTAGAACACTTGCTTGTGCTCATGCAAAACCTATACTTCAACCAGGAGACAGCTGTAACAAAGAAAGGAAATATTGCATGTTTCAAAATTAGGAAAGGAATACTAAAGAGATGCATCCTATATATTTTCACTCTAAATGTGGAACAGATCCTCTAGGAGGCTGGGCTCTATGAGGAGGAATGTGGCCTCAGGATTGGAAGAAGGCTCATCAACAATCTGTGCTTTGCAGATGACATAACCTTGCTTTCTGAACCTGAGGAGGACATGCAGAGGGTCAAGGACTGCAACTTTCAATATAGAGTTAAGCTCAACATCAAGAAAATAAAGATTCTCAGCACTGGGCCAATTGGCAGCATTATGATAGATGGTGAAGAGATTGAGATTGGTAATGGCTTCAGCTTGTTTGGTTCCACAATCATCATTTTTGATACCAGCAGCTAGAAAATTAAAAGACACATTGCATTGGGAAAATCTGCTCTCAGGGACTTCTCCAAAGTACTGAAGAGCAATGATGTGAGAATAGAGACTAAGATATACCCAACTAGGCCATTATCTTTACATTTACTTGCTATACACCAGAGTTGAAAGAATCAATGCCTTTGAATTGTGGTTCTGGAGAAAAGTACTGAGTATAAATGAACTGCTAAGAGAACAAACAAGTCCATCCTGGAGAGCATGAAACCAGGCTGTTCATTGGAGGCAAGGATTTTGAAGTTCCATCTGACATACTTTGGGCATGTTGCCATATCCGACCAGTCCTTGTAGAGGGATATCATATATGGGAGACTGGAGGGGCAGTGCCAGAAAGGAAGATGCTGGATGAGATGGATTGATTAAGTGACAGGGAATAATGGGGTAGGTGTGTCAGAGACAATAAAATTGGCTCAAGATAGAGCAGACTTCAGAGCTATTGTACATAGGGGTTGCTATGGGCCACAGGTGACTTGATAGCATGTATCAACAACAAGCAATTTTTTGTTTTATCTTTTATTGTAAAACCTTTCATTGCAAATTTAGAGCATAACTATCTTGTCCAATTCTTGAAGTAGCTGGATGTTTGAAATAGAGCAAATCTAGTCTTCTGTTTTGAGTTTGTTGTTGTGGTTGTTATGCACTGTTATGTGTGTTGTTATGTGTTATGAGTCAACTATGACTCATAGCAACCCAATGCACAATAGCTCTGAAGCTGCTCCATGCTGAGGCAACCTCACTGTCTCTAGCACACCTATTTTCAAAACCCCAGTTACTGTGTCAGTCTGTCTCATCTAGGGTCTTTCTGTCCTGTACTGTCCCACTACCCTTCCAAGCATGAAGTTTTTCTCCAATGACTGGTTAGTACTGGCAACATGCCTAAAGTATGTGTGGCAGAGTCTCAACGTAATCATGACACTCTACTTCTTGTGAATAGTAACAGTGTTAGAACCTAAGTTACCCTCTGAGGCTACAACAAAGAATTGAAAAGTCCTAACAAATGTCATAATGAGTCATTACTAACAGAAGTTTAAAAAGGGGGGAGATTATAATAAAACCAAATAAATTTAGCTTTGAGAGCCCTTTTCTTTATTTCAGCAGAGCTTAGTTATTAATAAAAAGAATGGTAACTTCACAAATAAATTATTAAATCATAGTAGCATGGGTTCTGACCTACATATGAATTATCATTGCAATATGTCATTTTTGGTGAATATTTTCCACAGGAAAATAGTAATTATAAATTAATACTATGATACTAAGTGCTTTACATTAAAATCATTAATGATGTCACAATAGTCATTCAGACAAGACAAATAATTTGGTTCATGTTAATAATGGAATGATAATTTTCTAAGAGTATAAACCACTGAAAATGGGGGGAAATACTAATTTCAAATTTAAATATAAAAAAAATCACCACAACCGTAAACAAACTCTCTTTTAGAATTATGTAAATAAGGAAAGAAAAATAATCCAACCTTGTAATATTTTGATATTTGGATTTGGGACAGTATCTTCAATCTCACTGAAACAAAAGAGAAAGAATATTTTAATTTTCATGCATTTAATAAATGAAAAAAATTTCAGCAAAAGAAAAGCCTTAAATTATTTTCCATAGAAGGTTTGGTGGGTGGAGGGAAGGGGTCAAGGAATTAGGAAAGATCCAGTGGAGATCGGAAAAGATGGGATAACAGTGGGCATAGATCAACAGTGATTACTTTTATAAGATACATTTATAGGAATTATCATAAGAAACACAATGTGAATTAAAAACAAAACTACCAAAGAACAAAAATAAAGAAGTTTATCTGAAGAAAGTTTACTTCTCTGAATTTTCACATATAAAAGAGTATGGTTACTAAATGGATTTTTGTTTTGTTTTTATTTTCTGTGATCTTTCTTGCCATTGATGATATAAACAATATGTACCGTAGTAATGCAGGGAATACTCCACATTATTATTTTTGTGTACTGTCAGATTAGAACTTACCTAAGGCTGACCCACCAACAACTTTTCAAAGAAAATAAAGCACACAGAAGACTGCCCAACTTTGTCCCACAAAATGGCTGTTAGATTTGAACCACATGCCTTTCTTTGCATTGGCAGTACAATTCCTAACTACTAATCCGCCAGAGCTCAAGCACAGAAAAAGAGTCAATGATGGATAAGGGATAATTCTTCCAATATCATGTCAAAATGAAACAATTTCATAGTATAGGGAGGGAAAAGAAATATAACTAAGCTGATTTTCTATATATAACCAATACTTATCCCATAACAGAAAATGCTACAATATTATAAAAAAAATTTTAAACAAGTTTTAGCCATTAATTGGATTGAAAGTCTTTTTCTTTCTTTTTCTGTGTCCTAAAAAGTCACATAGTTCGGACTCCACTCCTTTAATCAGTTCCAACTTGGACTGGCTGATTTTCTTACTCACTCTAATTGAGGAGGACATGAAGTACCTGATGTAGAAGATTTAGAGACTACAGCCTTCAATATACATTGTAGCTCAACATCAGGAAGACAAAAATACTCACCAATGGACCAATAAACATCATCATGATAGATGGAGAAAAGTTCGAAATTTTCAACCATTTCACAATTGTTGATTGGATTTACAATCAACACCCTTGGCACCAGCAGGCAGCAGATGGAGACATACTAAATTGGGAAAGTCAACTGTCAGGAAGCTCTTCAAATTATTGAAGAGAAATGTCAGTTTGAAGACTAAGGCACACTTGATTCAGGTCTTTGCAATCACTTGCTATATGTCTGAGAGCTGGACAAAAGATAAAGATGACAGAAGGAGAATTTATGGACTTTTGTTATGGTGTCAATGAAGAGTATGGAGTATCTCACAGCCAGAAGAACAAACAGATATGTCTTGAAAAATGTACAACTAGAGTACTCCTTGGAGGCAAAAGGCAAAGCTTCATCTCATAATCTGAGCATGTTGCTGGGAGAGGGATATCATCCTTGGACAGGTGGAGGGGCCGCAGAAGAGAAAAACACCATCAATGAAAGGGATGGACAAAATAACTACAACAATAAGTCCAAGTGTGCCAGGGATGATTATAATGATACAGGATAGGACAGGGTTCAGCTCTGTTGTTTATAGGGTCACTATAGGTCATATTTGACTTGATGACACATACAAACAACATCATCCTTAAAGACCCAAAAGAAGTTCATTACTTTTTAGAATTTATATCCAAATGTTCCAATTCAGATTGCAGCTTTTTTCCCCCCTTCTTCTTCCCTTTGAAGTTTTCTTACAGGTATTGCTGTACACTGTAAGATTTAGGTATTCAAGAGAGATAAGAAGGAATCTTTTGAACTAATAATGAAATGCTGTTGTTAATCTGGTGACTGATTCCTAGACAGAAACATCCTAACACATTAGCTAATACTTCTGATACCTCTGTACCAGAAAGCAGGTCTCAAAATAAAGAAGTAGAAGTCAGGTAACCAGTAGTAAGGGGTAGATAGGAAGCTGAGGCTTAGGAAGTATCCACAAAGAGAAATCAAGGAAGAGTAGAATAATCAAGGAGTGAGGGAACATGTGGAACTGAGTATCTCCTTGCTCATATTTTTATCAAAACAAAAGAATTTCTGAGCCTAATTAAAACCACTTGCTATTGAGTTGATTCTGGTGCCTGGGGACCACAAGAGTGACTTATTCTCACTGTTGTCCATATGATTTTCAAGGCTGTGACCTCTTGGAAACTTATCACATGGCCTTTCTTCTACTGAGATACTTCTTGATAGGTTCAAACAACTAATCTTTCAGTTGGTAGTCAGTGATAGAACTGTCTGCATCAAGGGGGGGGTCTCCAAGGAAACCAGTATTCTCCACAACAACACTGTAATCTCAGATAAATATTTATGTATTGCTTGAATTTAATGTAAGGATACTTGGTGGCAACCTGGAATAAGCATTAAGCTGCTAGCTGAAATGTTGGTGGTTGGAAGCCACCAAACGCACTTCTCATCTGGAGAAAGGTGAAGCAGTCTGCCCCTAAAATGATTTACAGTCAGAAACTTTATGGGGCAGTTGTACTCTATCCTATGGGGAAGCTATGAGGCAGAATCAACTTGAGGGAAGTGGGTACTGGCAATTTACCTGTATGGTGAAAGCAGATCTTCTTGGTTGTATGAAGATGAACTCATAATTCTGTGTATTAAGTACTGTGTTGGTTCATTGATATTCTTCTTGTCTTCTTTCTGGAAAAGTATAAAATACATAATTACACAAAGTAGAGTTTGATTTGTATGTTTGCATCTTATTGGCATTTTCTGCACTTTTGTCTACCATGTATATAAAGTTTTAGAATTAGTTAAAAGATGAACGAGTTCTGTAATTCCAATTAAAATGTTCCTTTGGATATAATTCTTTGGAAACTGTTCAGTAAAGATGATTTAGATTATGATATTTATTGATCTATTATTGGTGAACAAAAAAGCTACTATCGTGGCATTATTAATAATCTAAGATTATTATCTATATAATGTCACTGATAATATATGATATATGATATAAATACAATTTAGAGTATATATGTAATATGTAATATATATAACATATATAATATATATAGTATAACATTGCTTTAGATATTTATGAATCAAGTACTTTTTACCATGTTGCATAAGATGCTTTTTTTTAGAACACATTTGTTCATAAAACTACATGTGATGTATCAGCAAATATCTCAGAATAGACAATAAGAGAAACTACCTGGAAAGTCGATGAACTGATAAAAATTATATCTCTGTTCACTTTCTCTGGTTCACCTCAGCTTTTGGGTCAAATTGATAACCAAGAAAAAATGTCTCCCTAAGAATCTTGAATTATGTATATTCTCCAGTCACACATTGTGGCACAGATTTTGGACAGGGCTTTTCTGTCCAAAACTATTGAGATTCAGGTCACTATTTAGAGAGTATAGAACTGAGAGGGAGAGGGGAAGAATGTCTCTATAACATAACTGCTGTGGAATTTTTGGCTGACTAACTACAGGAGCTATATTTTAAATATTTCAATTAACTTGTTTTGTTAGGGCAAGTTCGCTAAGCACAGGAAAATGTATGAGAGGCAGAACTTGTCAAAGGAGGAAGGTAGGATTCTTAACAGTGTGATAGGTAAGGGTGTAAGCACCCTATCAATAAAGAAGCTCTGTTACTCTAGGGAGGACGGAGTCTGTTTGTCAGTCCACCAGCTTCTATGCTGGAGAAGGATATGCAATCCTCTTGCACACAATTAATTTCCAGCCTGTGAAAAGCCACAAGTGAGTCAGTTATGAGTTGGTTCTGACTTGGTGGTATGTAACAACAATCCTGTCAAAGGTGGAGAACTGAGACTCTGAACAAGAGAGCTTTTGCAAGTTCTGGTTCTCACCAGCTTCACTTGTAACTTTGGAGAGAAAGAGTTGACTGTGACCATTGCCCTAAAGTTGCATGGCTATTAAGTGACAAATGGGATTTAAACTTAGAAGTAAGAATCTTTTAATTACTAAAAATGCAGCTAATTTATTACAGCCTCTTGATTTTAAAGAATTGGCTTGCTTTTGTTTTCATTGGTTTCTGTTTTATATTTCCTTAGTGCTTTTCATGATCTAGGTCTCTTTCCTTTACATGCTTTCCCTTAATTGAGGTTTATGACTTTATCTCAATTATTTCCTGTGTACTGCAAATTTCACCGGCTTTATGAGAATGCCATTTGTACGCATTTTTTGTAATCTTTTTTGCCTAGTCAAGGTACATTTGTGGACAGAATTCTTATATGCTTTCTACAGATTATCTGATAACAGTCACATTTTTCACTTACAATCTGCTGTGCCGTTTTGTCCAAAAAACAATTGGTTTCAGCTGAAGGTACTAGGTATGTGGCCATGTCAAGCTCTGCATCCGTTCTTTTAATATGTTCTTCCATTGCAGATTCTGTTGCCTGATTTGCACTTACTTCAATGCCTGGTGCATTTATACTGGATGTGAGCTGACAACATTTACTTAGGGACAAGAATTTTTTCAGGCTGTTTGTGCTTGATGTTGGATTGGGAGAAGTAACTTTGCTTTCTACTGGCTTCTCAGCTTTTACTTGAGCTTCAGCATTTTCTCCTAAAAATTCCGTCTGTACAATGTCTCCTAAAATGATTTCATCTTCATCAGAAGTTTGTCCCTCATCCGTGGTATTATCTTCTATACTTGTTTGGTCAATATCATGAGTTACTAATCTAGTGATAAGATCATATTTGTTCTGAACATCTTTTAAAAGCTCCACCTTCGTAAGATCAGGCTTTCTTATATTCTGGAATGAATTTCTGCAAACAGCCTAAAATTTAAGGTGCAAAGAACATTAACAACAAATGCACTAACAGTTTATTTGTGTAATCTATTTTACTAAAGTTGTCTTCATATCATTTCTAGTTTCTATTTATTAAAATTATCTCTACATGCATTTACTCTCATATTAGTATTATATTGAATGAAAAGAAATAAATGAAAATTAAAATAACTATTTGTGGGTTTCTAGAAGTTCTTTTATATTCAGACACATTATTAAATATCACTCCAAAAAAAAGCAGAGGAAAATTTAACAGAGACTTTTTCTTTTGCCTGAAGTTTACATGTTCTTATAAAGTACTTTCATCAGTTTCTGTATTGTGTCATTTTTGATAAAAGTTATATTGCTAAAGTAGGCATGATAATATATTTTTTCCCCTTCTGAGTCGTCTACGACTGAACGGCATTAAACAACAACAACAACAACAAGATTCTAGGCAAGAATACACAGAGAATTACAAATATAGGTATTTTTAAGAAAAAAAAAATCAAGTTGTTGCCTAACCTTGATTTCTAAAATAATTAAAATAGTAAAAATAGTGAAGGCTTTTGAATCATTTCCTAACTCTATGCTCCTGATGTTCTGAACATATTTCCCCACAGATACTTAAAACATAAAAATTCATTTTTCTCACTTCATTAAATGTTACTTACTTTATTCCCCTCAGTTTTAACTATAGATCAAGTAAAAGATAATAATAATAATAATAATAAAATAATACCACTTTATTTTTATAGCAGTGTTAATATTAATTTCAGTTAATAATCCTGAAATCAAGATTATTATTAACATCTTGTGATACCACAAGATACTTTTCTGAAAACAAGGCCTTAATAAATTGTTTCTGTGGAAAGAAAATAGAGAAGGAACTTTAAAGAAAGAAAATACAGTTTTGATTGCACTAGGAAAAGTACAGAGTTACTTAGAAAATGAAAAATAATTTGATATGACTTTGGAATTTGTCATTGTATGTGTTGGGTGAAGTTCTACTCTGATATTTTCAGGTGACTATGAATCAAAATTGACTTGAAGGGCATTTATTGGTTAATATAATGAAAGTGAAATGAAAAATAAAACAATACCCCCTATATAATCTATGTGCTTGCCATTTTATGTTAGTTGATAGATTATCAAAGTTATTATTATAGAATCTAAGTTGGAAAAATGAAAACTACTGCATATATTGAAGATTTTAAGGTTATATTGAGGCTCTTATGAACACCTTTTCATAGCTATAATAAAGAACTGAAACCGAGAGAGATTACATCTGATCTTCAAATGAGGATTGCAATCTCAATGAATTTTGGTTTACCATATGTTTTCATACTCCTTAAAAAAATTCACTCTAGTCTGATTAACTTAAGCCAACTAGAGTGAACCATAAAGATGAGAGAGTAAGTTCTAATAAATCCTAAGATTGTATATACACTGTAATGAATCAGTGAACTAGATTCTCCTATCGGCATGAACAACAAGAAAAAAAATATCCCAACAGATCTATTTGAGGAAAAGTATTACAGAAGAATCACATCTCACTTTTCATTCATCTTTTTACCCTTACCATTTGCACTTACCTCAAAAGGCTTCAGATCCAGTTGGCCTGCCTGATTCAGAGAGATGCGTCTTTCTTTCCTTCGCCTTTCTCCACCAGGTATGTCTGATGAGGAGTAACTTTTCCCACTTACTGAGGCATTTCTTAGTTCTGCTAAGCTATGCCCAGTCTTTTCAAAACAGTCCATGTTAAGCTTCTCAAGAGGTTGAGTTTTCACAGAAATGACTGCTAAGTGTTCTGATATAATGGTTGGATCTATATTAATTGGTTTATTTCCAATGTATGGAACTATTTTAAGTGGAAATTTTCTTTCAGTTGAAATTTTACCGCACTCTTCTTTTTCTAAGCCAAAAGCAATGATCGCAGCGTGCTCTTGTGCCTTTAGGACAATTCTATCAGTGTCCAGGTCTCCAGCAGGAACACTCACATATTTTGAGCTAATTTTATTTAATGAAGTATTTGAGATGCTATTGATAATTAAACTAGACACCATTTTAGGGAAACGTTGGCTATCGGTATCATTTATATCAGAATACAGGTTTTCCTGAGTTCCAGACTGTTGTAGTATATCACTATAAACAGAATCAACAACCTGAGAAACTATCTCCATACTTTCTGGATTTAAAATGGTTTCTCCAGGATCAGTAGCTACTACAAGACTGATGTTACTATCAGAAATTCCATCTGTGATGTATTTTACCAGTTGAGATGCAATTCTACTTATCTCAAATGTTGTTAATTTTTTTTTCTTTTTTAATGAGTTACTTGGCAACCTTACTAGTTTAGCCAAGAATAAGGCTAATATTTCCTCTAATAATGTAGCATTTAATAAAAAACATTTTCTGGATAAAGATTTTTCCTGTGACTTCAATTCACTGATTATTTTAATCACTTTTCCCATAATTTCCACAGCTTCTAGAGCTAATTCTGACGTTGATACTTCTTCCTCTTTCTGAGGTTGAAATTCTGAATTGGAAATTTCTTTTACCATTAAAAAGCCTATTATATCAGAGAGAACATTACTCTTACCCACTAAATCTTTAAATATAGAAGTATGTGATCCAAAATTCTTTAAGATACTAGTATAAATGGAATCAACTATATTTTCAATAGTTGCATTATCAGATAAAGGTACAGGGCATGATTTGTTGGCATCAGGTAAAAGTTTAATTTTGCTTTTTGAGAGAAATCGTTGGACTGAATCTAGGATTTTTGAGATTATTTTTTCTATTTCAATTTCCAGAGTTTTACTTGCTCCTTTCGTCAATTTTGGGAACATAGATAAAAGCTTTGTTAAAAACTTCACAGCAATTTCTTCTACTATGCTGTATGACAGTTTATGAACATGCGATGGTTGAGGCGGGGGAACATCTGTCGTTTGGATGACTTTTTTGAGAATATTTTCAACAACACTGTCAATTTCTGCACATTGATGTGGAGTTAACTCTCCAGAGAAATACTTCTGCAACTGATTGCCAGATACTTCACGCAACACTAAGTCAACTATGGTCTCTGAAAGGATTCTGCATCCACCAGTTACACAGCTTTGCATAATCTCTTGAGATCCAAACTGTGACAAGAGATCATTATAAATAGACTGAACTACTAACTGAATTATTCCATTGTCATTAGGATGTAAAGGTTCTACATATTGAATAGCCATATCTTCATCTTTAGAGATCTTTGCCAGTATTGTATGAACCAACCTCATTTTCAAAAAATCCAAGTCTGCGGACAAACTGTTGGTAGATGTTTCTGCTTTAACACTAGTTACTGTAAAGAGAATTCTAGATAAAAGAGAAGATATCATATTCTCTAAAAATTTATGAGGCAACAGTATGGTGTATGGTGATGATGTTTGGCATTCCTTGCTGGCTGTTTGGGCCACCTTTTGGATCTTCTGAGCAATGTCTTTAGTTTGCAGAGGCAAACATGCTGAAGCTGTAACATCATCACCAAATATCAAATCAAGCTGATGTTGAAAAATTTCATTTATCACTGCACTGGTCAACCTTCTTGCTAAACTTTCCCTATTAGTGTTTATGTTTTTACAAATGGAATCTTGAGATTTATATTCCTTCAAAATACTGCATACGGAAGAGTGAACAACTTTGTTTACCAAAGTTTTATCAAATGATGGCATTTTTTTAAGAGAAGGTACTTCATACGAAAAGGATTTTTCATTCATTTTTTGCAGAAGTGGTGTTTTGTCTACAATTATCTTCAGGTTGAACGGGGCTTCATCTGAGATTGGTTCTTTTTGTTTGGGAGACACTTTAGTACCTGATGAGACTTTATCTGCAGGTTGGAAAAATTTATTTCCCTGATCCGGCCTAAATACTTTTATTTGAGCATTTGAAAATTCTTTTAACAGAGAGTCAATCAATTTCATAGCTGTATCATACAGCTCTGCTTGACTTTTATTGTCAGTTACTTTTTTACTACTCTCACCTTTTTGTCTTTCTGGTGGAGAAGAGAAGATCAATTTGTTAATCATTTCAATGACAATATCTTCTAGAAAGTTAGCAGGAAAAATCCCAGGCTTAGTTTCTAATGAGTAGTGAGAGCTGTTTGGTTTGACAGAGGCACTTTTAATCTCTTGAGCTCTTGATTCCTCCATCACTTGGGTGGGGACACGATTTTTAGTTGATGGAGATACATTCTTTGCTGAGATAGATTCTATATAGTCTTTATTCACCCCTTGAATTACATGCAGTGCTTGCTCAATGAATGGACTTTCAAATTTGGAATCACCTGCTGAGTCTTGAAAAGATATATCCAAAACATTTTCACAAATATTTTCAGTGACATATTGAATACTTTCATGTTCCTCCTCATTGACTGTTTGTGATGAAGTGTCTCTTGTGTTACTAGATGCATTAGATGTCAAAGTGGATACCTTGACAGGCTGGTCAACATTTTCCAAGGACTTTTCTCTCTTTTTTTCATCATCTGTTTCAAAACTTGGTGTTGGTATTTTTTCACACTTTTTAACTTTATTAACTACGGAAAAATGTTCATATACTTCTTCCTCTTGCCCTTCTTTATGTTTTAGAGTGGATAAACTTTTCTTCTTGATTTCATTAATTTCAAGTGCCACATTCAAGCCTGAATGTTGAATTTCATCACTTTCGATTCTGCTAGGTTGAGGAGTAACTTCTGGTATATTGTTAACATATTTTAGAATTTCTGTTTCCATTTTACTTTCACTTTTTTTCTTTTTGGGGGGCACAACTGCCTGGTTAACTATACTGCTTTTCATAATGCTAGTAATCACGGAAAGCAATGGATCAAAAGGCTGCTGTTTTTTCAGTGATGTTTCCTCTTTGTTCAAGCTTTTCTTTCTGCACCTTATGTCTCTATTGTTTTGCAAAGTGCCTATTGTTTTCTTCTGACCTGTGCCTAGAGTAATGTGCTTATTTGACTCTTCTGGTAAAGTACCTTGGCTCTCTTTCAAGGATCTATTTACCTGGATGGAGGTTTCTTGTGGTAAATGTTGTATTCTTTGGGTGATATTATCTGGATTTAGAAAAGAAAAAAAGATGGAAGACCAGTCTCCTGAAAAAAGTGGTTGAATCTTAAAAGCTGATATTGCATCCTGGGCTAAGGAAGAAACCATTTCTATTAAAATGTTACTGTTCTCTCCATTCTGAAGATCATTAGGCCCACATTTTACTATGAACTGATCATACACAAAATTGGTTATTTTATCAACTGTCTCTTTATCAATTGGTGGAAAAGAAAATATTTCTTCAGCTTTTGGTAGAACTTTAATCTCACTTTTCCTGAATTCCTTTAACAGAGAATTTACAAACTCTATAGCCAGGCTTATAATGTCTGGTTTTGCCATTTCTTTTTTCTTAGACTCTCCTGCAGCACTTGGAAGAGAATAAAATTTACGCACAAGGTCAACAATTACATCTTCCAAAAATGTAGCTGAGTAGAGGGAAGGCTGTGTCTTTTCCTTATCAGGTTCATCAAGTACAGAAACATCGGCATCATCAGATAGGTCACTAGGAGCTGATTCTTCACTATGTAAAAAAGGCTTCAGATGCTGATCCATGATTTCCTTCATAATCAAGCCAGCTATTTTGCTGAGAAATGAACCTCTTTTTTTGTGTCCTCCTTTCTGTACCTCAGCTTGAAATTCAGATTTTTTCCAAATGTTGTTACATATTGAATCAACAAAATTATCAATTTCTTCTACTTGCATACTTACTGTATTATTCTCTGCTGTGGCCAGTCTAATCTCATGTTCAGAAATTTCTGTTATAATTTCATCAGTCAATTTGGAAACTGCATCTACAAACTCATGATCTGATTTTACCTCTTTGTCTTTTTTAAGGTCAGTTAATGGGGAGATATGATGTAGAAGCTTGTAAATAATATCTTCTAAAAGGGAACGAGGCAATACAGTCATACAAGATGGTAAGGGATGTTTATCCTGTATAATGGTATCCAGAACTTTTCTGATGATATTATCTGTCCGTAGAGAAGAATAGGAAGAATACACTAATTTTCCTGAAACTAGTGACTGCACTTGGTAATCATAAATTTCTCCCAATAGCAACCCATATATTTTTCTTCCAAACCCAGTAGGGTCACTTTGAACGACCTTATAAACTTGAATCAGAGATTTATATTCATCTAATATTTTCTCATAAATTAGGTTGACTGTATTTTGAACTATTTCTTCATATCCTTCTGAAAAACACAGATTTTCATTTATGTTATCTGCAAGTAAAATCTCTGATGTGGCAAACTCCAGAACAATTGATTTTACTACTGTTGTAACCAAGCCAATAATTTTGTCTTTTGCTTTATCTGGATTTTCAGCAACAAAGACACTGTGTGAGAACGCGTACAAGATTTTGCATAAAAGCTTAGAAATTACTTCCTCCAAAAAGACAGCTGAATTCACAATTAAAGCTAATTCTCTTTCTTTAGAATCTATTGCTCTCTCTTCATAAGTTTGATCAACCGCAGCTGAAATGAGAGTTTGATCTCCAGACAAAAATGACTGCAGATGATGATTAAAGATTTCTTTTATTATAAAACTTGCTATTTTTGAAATAGGTACATTACTTATCCCTTTTTTCTCTTTTGTAAGAGACTGGTACAGATCTGAACATGAAAGATCGACATAAATGGAATCAACCATAGACTGGATGTCTTTTTCAGAAATCATGCTTTGTTTTTCACTCCCATGTTTAACAATACATATTGCATGTTTTGAAATTATTGACACAATTTCATTTATCAGCTGCATAACTGTATTACTTAATTCTGATCGAGTATCATCTGGGTCTTCCTTGGTGGAGACCAATGGACTTATCTGTGATAGCAGCTGGGTGACTATTTTTTCCAAATGAGCATGTGATAAGATAGTAGTGTATGTAGTTGAAGGCTGTCTTCGCAACCGTGATTTACTAATATCTCTTTCAACTCTCTTTATCAAAACATCAGCACTGAGTTTGGACTGTGATTTAAAAGGCAGTTTTGCTACAAAGTCTGGGTGAATTTGGAAATCAAAAATTTCAGTCAGGATGATTTTAGTTACCCTTGCAGCCAGAGTCTTTGTGTTATTCAGAAAATCTTTACTGGGCATAATTTCCATTTCATAATCTTGCAAAAACTTGCTATATATCATGTCAATGGTTTTTATGACTCTCTCTCTCTCTATTGGAGGCAAACTCAATTTATACTCGGCGTTTTCTATAATACTAACATGAGCTTTTGAAAATTCCTCAGTTATTAAAGGTATTAGTTTTTTAGCTATTTCTAACAGTTCATCTTCTGAACTTTTTACTGATTTTGTTTGCACAATACCTAACAACCTATGGAATATTTTGCTTAACACCCCAGATACAACATCTTCCAAAAATGTTGATGAGTAAACACTGGCATAAAACAGTTGGCTACTCTCATCATGGAAATACGAGCATGATGAAGATGTGAGGGATTTCCTATCCACAAATGGCTGAAGATGTTTTTGACAGATATTTTTAATGATAAAGCCTGCTATCCTATCAATGAGAGTATCATTACTATCTGTAATATTTTGCTCAATTGATTCTTGAGGCCCAAAGTTTTGCAAAATATTTGTGAATACTGAGTCAACAAGATGCTGAACATCATCTTCTGAGTAAACAGATTGAGTTTCTTCTTCTTTTTTTGAAAATCTAATTTCATGTTGGGAAATTTTAGCCCTAATATCACTGATTAGCTTTGAAGCCATTTCATTGAAATTCACTTCGGGTCTATCTTTTCGGAATTCTCTGTTTGGAAGCAGGCTAGATGTAGAAGGAAAGATTTTAGATAATAGTACTCTGATCATATCCTCTAAAAATGTGTATGAAAGTAAGGTGTTATACGGAGATAAACTCTGGTTTGGCTGGTTACATTTATTGATGTTACCAAGGATGTCCTGAACAATATTCTCAGCCGCTGAACTAGAAGAGGAGGTATCAGACACATCTCCAGAAAACAAGGGGTGAAGTAAGTAATCGGAAATAGCAGCTACAATTAAATTGGTAATATTTTCCACAAAAATATCACTGTCTTTAGATTCTTTAATAACCTCAGGGTACAGCTCATGCTGCTTTAAAACATTTTTATAAACTGAGGTGACAAGTTTATCTACAATATCTTTATCTACAGAGTGTTCCATGTTATCATATATAGTGTTGATTTTTGCTTTGTCAAAATAGTTATTTATTGAATTTACTAATTTTTGGGTAATTTTTTCCAGCTCAAATTCAGTATGAGACTTTGGAATGAAGATCTTAGATAAAAGTCTTGTAACAATTTCCCCCACAAATGTATCAGGGTAAACACTTAAGGATGACGGTTTTGAGACTCTTTGTGGCTCTGTGACATCACTGAGCACATGTTTAACCATTTTAGATATTTCATCCAATGGAGTCTTAGGATAGAGTAAACTCTCTCCACACAGAAAAGGTTGAAGATGATTTTCTATAATCTCTTGGATAATAAAACTGGCTATTTGGTCCGTTATAATGGGGTTTTGACTTACTATACTTTTCTGTATTGAAACAAGAGAGTCAGACATTTGTAAAATATTTCTATAGACAGAATCCACCATCTTTTGAAGGTTTTCCCTTGTATATACATATTGATTATCATATAGAGTGAAGAAAATATTATGTTTTGAGATGGCTGACATAACCTTATTTATAATACAAGTGGATATTTCATTAAAATTTGAACTCACTAAGTATTTCCTTCCCAAAGAGGAGGACTCACTGGATGGAGGACTGAGCTGAGATAAAAGCCTTCTGATAACATCTTCTAAAAATGAATATGATAACTTGGTGCTGTAGCCTGTTGAAAACCTATGTTGGGAGGTAAATTCTCTCAGGTTACTTTGAAGTTTCTGCAATATAATTTCAGCACTGAGAGGATAACATGAATTAGGTAGGAGCTTCTCCCTTAAGTAAGATGGAAGCTGGAAGTCCAATATCTCTAGCAATATGCCATTTGTTATCTGTTCTGCTATTGAAGTACTGCCATGAGCAACAGTATTACCAGGGGTCGCATTCAATTTATAGTGCTGTAAAACATCATTATAAACTGAGTCAACGATATTACTAACAGTTTCTTTGTGAACTAGTGAAAAATATAGTCTTTCTTCAGCATTCCGTAAAACAGTAACTTGTGCATTATTAAACTCATCCACCACAGACTTGATGAATAAAGTATTAATCTCATGGAGCCACAACTCAGTGATGTTGCCATTTTTGCCCCACAATGAAGTAGAGAGATTAAAAAATAGTTCCGAAATTATATCCTCCAAAAATGTGGCTGAATAAACAGTCATAATCTTGCCACCTGGACAAAACATGTTATTGACGGCTGTAGTATCTGTGTCCTTTGTTCCTTGTCTTTTAAAGGGTGATACATTAGATTTTACTGATGACTGTTTGCCAAATGCTGTATGTATTTTGGACCTATATGTCTTGGAATTATCCAAAGAGTCTTTATCTTGTAATTCTGTGCACTCAGGACTTTTTACTTTTCTGAAACTAGAGTGTTTTTTCATTGTTCTTTGCTTTGAATGATTGTTTTCAAAAAGTGGGCTTTCAAAGGTATGCTGTATACACTGAGATAGTTTTTCCATTAGTGATTTAACCAAGATGTGGGAAATAATCGTAAGCATGGAATCTGATGACAATACCTCTTGATCCATTTCTGCAAGATTTTCCAAAAGTTCTGACATGCAATCTCCTTGAAATGGCTGGCAGTCCAAAGCCCCTCTGCAGCAATCAAATTCTTCATCTTCTACATTTTGAAATATTTTTAGAAGTTGATATTCTTCTGCTTTCTCATCACAAAGAAGGTCATTATTATCAAAGCATCCTATGCTTGTGCATTTTTCCAAAAGTGTTCTAGTAAGTTTTTCACATATGACATTAAGAAGGAAAACTGATTTCGGTGAGAGCCCTAAGTTATTTCCACATGTACCACATTCTTCATGATTATTTGAGAATGGGAGAAAAGTTCTGCTTAGTTTACCAGAATTGACTGACACATCCGGGTACTCATCTGGCAAAAATACATCTAAAACAATATTGAAAACTTTATTGACTGTTTCTTTGGATTCATGATTTTTTAAGTTATCAACTAGTTTGTCTAATTTACATGCTAGATAATTTAATTTATTTTTCTGAATGAGTTGATTAACTTTATGAGTCGATAATTCAGAAACTCTGGGATCTATTGGGCTTTCCATAGCATCAGTCTTATCACATATGGGCGCTCTTTGGTTTCTGAGCACGGAACATGAATTGTTTCTTCCTTTGTTTTCAAGTCGGTGATTTATCCCCATTTCTTTGGATAATATATGAATCACTCCTATTAAAAGATCATGAAAGACATCATCTAAGTCAGTAGCAGCATTGCTTGGGCAGTAAATGTATTTTGTTTTCACAGTAGTCATTTGCTGTGCAAAGTCAGTCTTTATAATGTTACTATTAGAAAGGATTCTGATGATGATTTCAGAAATGCATAAAGCAAGTTCTCCAGTAGGGATTGTTCTACTCTCAAACACTTGGGAATGAATTAAAACAAGCTTATTAACTGCAATATCTTGGTTTTCCAGTGCTTTCATTCTTTCTTTATCCTCTTTGGAGCCATCAAAAACACTTGAAAATATATAGTAAATTACCAACTCAGTAAGATGTTCATAAAATTGATTAAGTGAAGAATCATTATGTATGCTTCTTAAAGGCTGTTTTAATTCATATTTTCTTCTTGGCAATGTAGAAGCAATAGACAGCATCTCTTCATGAGAATCTTAAAGAAAATAAAACATTGCTATTATAAACTATTCCGTATATCCATAACACCATAATTAACACTTACCTTGTAAGTACCTCCCTAAAGTAAAATCTAGTAAAGATAGGAATTGGATATTTATCCAAATATTTATTTCCCACTTTGAGAAATACTTGTTTTAGCTTGGAGGTTTAGAAAACAGCACCAAATAAGTTAAATTTATAAGTCCTGATGTCAGTATTGATTGAATGATATGGATGCTAAGAACCTGAAACTCCTGGAGTAGAGAAATAATATCTAAGTTTGATGTTAGCTCTGTTGTGTCTCTAGATTTGTAGATAACTCATAAATTATGTTCAAAAATTCTCTAGTCAAAATATAAGATATTGTGCAATGTTTACTTTTAGGAGGAAAAAGAGTTATGCTATAGTTCCAAAGTGCCTAAAATAAAAGTGAGGCAAGTTCACAACAACTAGGAATATGAAGTGGCTGTACTACCTTAGAAAACAAAATTATCACAAAGATGACTGGTTAGTACAGCTAGACTCAGGGCTCTATTATATGTTCTGTTCAACAGGGTATTTAATGCATATCATACATACATATTTGAGATTTCTTGCTTCTGAGGAAAATATAGCTAAAATGAAACACTGCCATGTGCCCTTGGTTGTTGGGTGCCATTGGTTAGGTGCAAGTAGATGCTATGAAGCACAGTAACCCTATGGACAATAGGTTAAGTGCCAATGGTTAGGTGCTATTGGTTGTTATGTTTCATGGCGACCATATGAACAATAGATGTGAACCTTGCCCTGTCCCGTGCCATTCTCAACATCTCTGACATGCTCAAGCCCAGTGATGCAGTTACTGTGTCAGTCTAGCAGTCAGAGGGCTTGCTTTCTTTTGCGGATCCTCTACTTTTCCCAGGATGATATTTTGTTCCAGGAATTGGCCCCTTCTGACAACACGCCCAAAGTATGTGAAATGAAATGTCATTATGTTAGCCTCTCAGGAGCTTCTTCCAAGACAGATATTTTATCCTTTTGGTAATCCATGGGATGTTTAGTAATATTTTTCCAACAATACAAATCAAAGTCAATCATTTGTGCTCTGGCATTCTATTTCCCTGTCAAACTTTCAGATCCATGGCTAGCAATCTGGAAGACTATGACTTGGATCAGATGTACCTTAGACTTTAAACACCCATAACATCCTTGCTGGTTAGCACTTTGAAAAAGTATTTCGTGGGTGATTTTCTCAATGCAACACACTGTCGATTTCTTGATAGCTGTTTCTATGGGTATTAACTGTGGATTTGAATACAATGAACTCATCAACAATGTCAATCTCTTCTCCATCCATTTCATGATGTTACATATTCATCCAGTGGTAAGGATTTTTGTTTTCTTGAAGTTGAGATTTAATCCATACTGAAGACTACAGTCTTTGATCTTCAGCTAGAGTTTCAGTACACTTCACTTTCAGTTAAAAAAAAAAGGTTGTGTGAGTCTTCCTCCAATCCTGATGCCTCATCCTTTGTCATATATCCCGCTTCAAGAATGATTTGCTCAGTGTACAGACTGAATAAGTAAGGAAAAAGTATACAACCCTGGCACACACTTTTCCTGACTTGCAATCATACAACATTCCCCTGTTATGTTTGGCCAAAAATCTTTGTATAGGTTTCATATAAGCACAATGAAACGAACTGAGATCCCCATTCTTCTTAATGGTAGCCATAATTTGTTATGATACGTAGTCAAATGTCTTTACATAATCAGTAAAACATAGATAAACATATTTCTGGTATTCTTTTTTGATCTCAGCCAAGATCAATCTGACATCAGCAAGAATATCCCTTACACCATGACCTCTTCTGGATTCAGCACCAATATCTGCAGTTCCTGGTCTATGTACTTTTCCAGTCTTTTAGGAGTAATTTTCAATATGATTACTTGCATATGATAGTAATAATATTGTTTGATAATTTCCAGATATTGGATTACTGTTTTGGGGAATGAGGACAAATATGGATCTCTTCTAGTTACTATCCCAAGCATCTTTTTTTCCAAATTTCTTGGCATAGTCTAGTGACACTTAGGACTATATCTTTTTATTGAAACACCTCAATAGGTATTCCATGAATTACTAAGGTCTTATTTTTTGCCAATGCCTTTAGTGCCACTTGAACATCATCTTTCGGTCTATTGGTTCTTGATCATATGCTACTTCCTGAAATGTTTCAGGATCAACCAATTCCACTTGGTACAGTGACTCTGTATTCCTTCCAGGAGGTGTGGGATGACATCAAGGTAATTATACACGAAGAAAGTGAAAGGTCATTCATTATAAAGACAGAGGAGAAAGAAAAGAGCGAAATGGTTGTCAAAAGAGATTACGAAAATGACACTAGAATGTAGAGGTCGAAACAAAGAGAAGAAATACAAAAGTAAAATAAAAACAACAGAATATTTCAAAGGGCAGCTTGAAAAGATAAAGCAAGATAATATAACTAAGTGCACAAAGAGCTAGAGTTACAAATTCAAAAGGAAATACCTCACTCAACATTTATCAAGGTGCATGAACTGATGTAGAAATTCATGCCTCAAGCTGTAATATTGAAAGATTCTATTAACAAAATTTTGAATGGTTTATTGTTGTTGTTGTTGTTTAGGTGCTACTGAGTACAACCCTAAATTACTCTATGAACAAGGGTCTGAAGGCCTATCCTGTGCCATCCTCACAATCTCTGACACGCTCAAACCTATTGCCGTATTTGCTGTGTCAGTGCACCTGGTTGAGTCTTCCTCTCTTTTGTCATCCTTCCAACTTCCTAAGCATAACGTCCTTCTCCAAGGAATAGCTTCTCCTAGCAACATGCCCAAAACATGTGAGATGAAGCTTAGTTATCTTTGCCTCCAAGGAGCTCTCTGGCTGCACTTTTTCCAAGAAATATCTGTTTGTTCTTTTGGCCATCCAGGGTATATTCAGTACTTATCTCTAATACCACAGTTCCAAAGCATCAATTTTTCTGTTATGCTTATTCTCTGTCCCACTCTCAGAAGCATAGCAACTAATTGGAAAGACCATGGCTGGAATCAGGTACATCTGTGCACCTCAAACTAACGTCATTGCTCCTCAATAATTTGGAGAAGTCCTTGACTGTGGACTTTCCCAGTGCAGTAAGCCTTCTGTTTGCTAGTACCAAGCGTATTGACTGTGGATCTAAGCAAGATGAAGTCATTGATAGTTTCAATCTTTGCTCCATCTACATGATATAGGACCAGTGGTGAGAATTTTTGTTCCCTTGATATTAAGATGCAATCCATATGGAAGGCTGCAGTGTTTGATCTTAAGCAGAAGTGCTTCAAGTCCTCCTCACTTTCAGCAAATAGGCTGTGCCACCTGCATACTGAAGGTTATTCTTGATGAGTCTTCCTCCAATCCTAGTGTCACCACTTTCTTCTTCATGGAGTACACTTTCTCCAATAGTTGCGCAGCACACAGACTGAATAGGTATGGAGAAAATATACAACCCTGATGAACACCTTACTTTTAAACCATGTAATGTTTCCTTTTAAGAGTTGGATAATGAAGAAGGATGAATGAAGAATTGATGCTTTTGAGTTTTGGTGTTGGAGAAGAGCATGGAACAGCCCATAAATGGCTAAAAGAACAAACAAGTATGTCTTTGAGAGGGTGCAGCTGGAGTGCACTTTGGAAGCAAGGATGATGAGACTTCACCTCACAAACTTCAGGCATGATGCTTGGAGGAGTGGAGGGTCAGCAGAGGAAAGACCATCGTCAGATGGACTGACATGATGGCTGCCACAGTGGGCTCTAGTGTGTGTCAGGAAGTGTGCATATGGCACAGGATAGGACAAACTTCAGATCTGTTGTTCATAGGGTCGCTATGAGTCATACTCAACTTGGTGGAACCTAACAACAACAATAACAACAACTAGTGTTTCCTTGTGCTATTTGCACAACATCTTCTTGGTCTAGGTATAGGTTTTGCTGAAACGAACTGAACATAATTAAGTGCTCTGAGATTCCCATCTTCTCAATGTTTGCCATAAGTTGTTATGATCCACACAGTCAAATTCATTTGCATAGTCAATAAAGCACAAAAAGACATTCTTCTGGTATTCTTTGCTTTCAGCCATGATCCATCTAACATCAGCAATGATATCCTTGTGCCACAACCTCTTTTCAATTCAGCTTGAACTTCTGACAGTTCTCTGTCTATGTACTCTTCTAGCCAATTTTGAATTATCTTCATAAATATTTTGATTGCATGCAATATTAAAAATATTATTCATTAATTTTCACATTCTGTTGGATCATTTTTATGGGGAATGGGAACAAAAATAGATCTCTTTCAGTCAATTGGCGAGGCAGCTATCCTCCAACTTTCCTGTAATAGATTGGTGAGCACATCCACAGCTGCATCTGAATTCAAATGTGCATTTGAAACGTGTCAATGGATATTCACAATCACAACTATTGGGATCTTATTTTTTGCCTATGTCTTCAGTAAAGCTGAAACTTCTTCCTTCATTACCATTGGCTCTTGATAAATATTACTTCATGAAATATTTCAGCATCAGCCAGTTCATTTTGGTAATGTGATTCTGTGTATTTCCTCCATTTTCCTTTGCTGCTTCCTGGATCATTGAAGCTTTTGTCCACTGTATCTCTAGTATTGCAACTTGAGGCTTTAATTTGAATTTCAGATTTTTCATCTTAAGAAATGCTGATCAAGTTCTTCTCTTTTTTATTCTTCAATTCTTGGTCCAGGTACATTCCATTCTAGTCACTTGCTTTGTCTTCCTGAGCTGCCCTTTGAAATCTTCTGTTCAGTTCTTTTACATCAACATTTCTTTCCAACATCCCTTCAACATGCTTTCATAACCGTTGAACAATGTAGAAAGCATCAATAAAAAAATGAAATACTCAGAATTGTTGTACCAAATAGGAAGCATACTCTTTTCTTCCCCCTTTGTCTCAGAATTTTCTCCAGAATTTAATTATGTTTTATAATAAAATATGATAGCTAAAAGATGTATTAATTTTAAGTGTTATATACAGCTTATCATATTTGAAATGGAATCATATTATGTATAAAGGAAAACGTTCACTTTTATTTTCCAGAGTACAAAGCAGTATCTTTAATGTTGTTGTCATTGTTAATTGCTGTCAAGTTGAATATGGCTTACAAGCATCCTATGAACAATAGATGTGAACCCTGTCCTTTCCTGTGTCATTCTCATCTTTACTGATACATTTTAGCCCATTATCTATAGCTACTATGTCAATCCACTTGGCTGAGGGTCTTCTTGTCCTTTGCCAACCGTCTATCTTTCCAAGAATGATGCCCTTTTCAAAGAATATCCCCTCCTAACTACATGCCCAATATGAGCAAGATAAACCTGGGTCATCTTTGCCTTCCTCTTACATGGATCTACAAACAATACCCTTTGTACTAGCAATCAAAAAAATCAAAAGATATATTGCATTGGAAAAACCTGGTGTAAAGTATCTCTCCAAAATACTAAGGAGCAATGATATCAGTTTAAAGACTAAGGTGCATCTGAGTCAGGCAATGTTTTTTTCCAATTATTTGCTATGCATTTGAAAGTCATCCTGAAAAAGGATGACTGAAGAATTATTACTTTAGAGTTGTGCTGGTGGAGCAGAGTATTGAATAACCCATGGACTGCAAAAAGAGTGAACAGATATGTCCTGGGAAAAGTGAAACCTTGGAGTGTATTTAATAAATATCTGATTTCTTTTCCTCTTCTATTGTCAGCTTTATTTTTACATAGAGTATATAATTTCAGATAAGAACAATAATCCTCAGAATAGTAATTTAAGCACTGAACAAAATATATGTTTAAGACCTAATTAAAAGGTATAGTACTTTTAAGTGTAAGTACATGTTATTTAAATATTATACAAATTTACATAACTAGTACAGTATTGATTCATTATTCCAATAAGATTATTTTAACACTTTGGGAAGACAATGATCTTAAGTAGGATTTGAAATCTAAAAAGGCTTTATGAAAGTGGGAGGCTTTAATTGAGCTTTTAAGATTAGTTAGGATTTGACCATGTACAAATGAAGGACTGAGAAAAAGAGTACTCTAAAAGGAAGAAGATACAGAATGTCCTGGGAATGTCTGAGAATAGAGAACATGTTTGGGAAAAAAAGCCAATTACAAATGGGGTGACATAATGGACAATTTTGATTATTCTTTTGTTTTTATTAGTAGTAGTCTATGAACAATTTAAGGCATATGGTTCAAATCCAGCTTCTCTGCTGGAGAAGAATGGGCGATCTTTTCCCATGTGATTAAGCTGCCTTTGAAACTCACTGGAGAGTCAGCTATGTATTGGTTCTCATTCAACTGCACATAACAACAATAAAAGCATAAACAATTTGGCTATACCTGGGTAAACTCTATTTATAAGCTTAGAATTTCAGAGATACAAATGTTTACAGTTATGAAAACAACAGCTTTAATAACAGGAAATAAGCTCCTGTATAGGTGGGTCTTTATTGTATTGTTGTTCTTGTGTAGCATAAACGGGAAATGACCCACAACTGACCCTCTGGTGGGTTTTTAGAGGCAGTTAATTGCATGAATTGGAAGCTGGAGTGGCATCCACTTCCTAAACAACACGCCTCCAGAAACTTTATGAACTTTGGTAAATGTCGATAGTTGTAGAAGGGCTTTAGGCCTTTTGTTCATAGCATTGCTATGAGTTGTGCTTGATTCGAAGGCAATCAACAACAACAACAACAACAACATAGTTGTAGAACTGGTAGTACATATACTTTATAAAAGATAAGAGATGTGTATGGATTCAAAGTATTGAATTTAATGATATTTATAAAAGAATACAAATGAATAACAAATGATAAGATTATTCTCCACTATTGTTGTTGTGCATCATTGAGTTGGAACTGATCCATAGCAGACCCTCGGGCGGGTTTTCAGGGGCAGTTAATTGCACTGGAGGAGAGTGTCCATCCTTCTGTGGAACAGCTGGTGGGATTCAAACCACACCTTTGGCGTAGCAGCACAGCTTTTTGCCACTGTATCACCAGAGCTCCCAATTTTGGGCTACAACAGTATTATTTTGCATAAGTTTTGGCAACATAGTTGATTACATATTGGTGACTGATGATTTAAACTCTCCAGTCATTCCAATGGGAGAAAGATGGGCAAGCCTCGTCTTGTATAGAGCCCTGGGAGGGTTACCATGGATAGGAATCAATAGGGCCACAGTAAGTTTAGGTTTAAAATATTAAGTTTAATTTTATAAAATGGCTATTGATTAACATCTTTTGATAAGACTATGGTGGTTCAGTGGTAAGGAATTGAGCAGCCAACAAAAAAGTAGTGTTTTCACAGTTTCCAATTTGAATCCACCAGATTAATCAAGCATGGGAGAAGGATGGCCAATCTCTTCTCATGTGGTTGATTTAATGCGTCTGAGAACTTGCTGGAGGGCCAGCTATGGGTTGGTTCTGACCTGATGATACACAACAAAAACAACATGATCATTTTCTGGTTCATCTCCATACATAGACACGTGCATTCTTAGAAAGAGAATACAAATGCTATGCTTGAAAGAGAAGTTCAGACGGTTTGACTTAGATGGAATGAAGTCTGAACAGTGGAATGTAAATAAAACAAGATGTTTATTATCATTGTCCTCATAAAATGTAAGTAATAATGGTAAGACTTTAATTTTATACCTTAAAAAGAAGTTGAATTATTAAATAATAATCAATAAGCTCCATGTCCATATGATTTTAGTCCAGTCTTTGTTAAAAAATAATAGAACAATAAGAATAATAGTAATCCACTTTGGAAATCATATCCCATGATTAAACAAATCTATTTTATCTTATCTGATTTGTAAAACTGATCAACATTCATTTTATGCATATGTTTCATTTTTGTTTTGACTTTTTTAGCATCCCAACAGATTAAAAAAATCTGTTAACTAGTTACTCTACTTCCAAAGATATTTCCCAAAAGTCATAGTTTTCTGCAAGCACACTTCTTGTGCAGGAGGAAAAAAAAATTTTTACACTTCTACTTTTAGAATTTGGCTGTTTTTTCGGGCTACAACAATATTATTTTTCAGAAGTTTTGGCAACATAGTTGATTACATATTTCTAGGACATTACTTACTATGTCTTTTAAAAGTATGGCAACTTTTAAAAACTTAATTATGTCTTGCTTACCTTGAGGTTCAAAGTTCTTGAGATGTGTGAGCACAGTTGTGGTGATATGTCTTGCTACAAGGTGAATTTCCTTTGGACCAATTTCATGATCAGCAAAAGCAATCACTTCAACTTCTTCCAGAGTCTCTATTTTCTTTCTTTCTGGGCATTTTACATTCCACCTTTGCAGTAAAGAAAACATTTCACTGACTTCAGGGTTTTTATGTTCTTCTTTCTCTGTACAGTGGAATTTTTTATCCCATGTTCCAAGAGAAACTGTCTCTTCCTCCTCTTCTTTTTCAGGTATTACAGACAAAGGAATTTGTTCAGAAATGAATATTGGTTTCATTGTTTCCATCCTTTCGTTAGTGTGTGACTGATTTGGAAAGCCATAACTCGTCAGGACGGTATTGACAATGTTTTCTGCGGCTAGACATATTTTGAGTGGAGAAACAGTTGTCTGAATTTGGGCGGCTTCAAGAGATGGTTGGTTTTCATAGTGAAACACTCTTGGATTATGATCTTTTCCCATTTCTATGAAAGACATAGCTTGTTTTAAAGCTGTTTCTGTAGACTCATTTGCTTTCTTAAACAGTTTTTGTAACATACTCCCTTCAGGAGCACAGTTATTTCCTTGTATGTCTTGATCAAAATTGTCATAGTTAATGTTCCTAGAGCTTCGGTTTCGTATTTTGTTTCTGTAGTCCAACCGTGTACTTTCTAAATCAGATATTTCCATTTGCTCTTGTGTACTTATGCCTCCGACATATCTGACATTTGAGGATGATCCCTTCTTGTACTTGTCTTTTATATTTTCCCTTGAACAAAGCACCAAACCAGGCACACTGACTTGTGGAGGGCTATTCACTGTACTAGTTTCCTTTAATTTTGATGTTGGCTTCTTCATATTACTTGTTACTTTGACTTGGTTAACAAGGCAGACCTTTTCATCTTCTTGGAATAAACTTTCCTTTGGAAGGTTATCGATCAAAGACTCACCGAAATTAGAACATTGGTCTATCAATGTGCCAATGATTTCACTTGCTACAACATTCTCTTTTGATGAATTAATTACAGATGATTCTCCTTGGCTTATTTCTTTATCAAGTTCGCCCTTGATTATGCCAAGCATGTCACTGACAATATTAGTAGAATAAGTAAGTAATTCTGAGTGGAAAGCATGAACTTGTAGAAAGGTGTTCTCTATGTTCTCCTTTGAAATACTATTATATGACTTGGTTTCATCAGAGGATTTTTTTATTGGTTGTAATTTTGGCAGCATCTTTTTGCTTAATAATCTCTGTTGGACAGGATAAAAACTTTCTATTGGCATTTTTACTATTTCAGAAAATTCATACTTAGAGATGTGTTTAAACTGCAAGTCTACAAAAGACTCTAACATGTTCAAAACTCTATCAATAATTTCTTGAACAATTTGGTTGCTAGAACCCAAAGAAATTGTGTCTTTTGATGTGGTGTTAGAGACTGCTACAGTACCAAGGTTATGTGTTGCTGCCGAACTGTATTTAGTCTTAACACTAATGCCTTCTTTCCTATTTGCTACCGTTTCTTTACCATCTTTGATGGATATTTGAGTCAAAAAGCACATCTGTAATTTTTCAAACAGCATTTCAATAATTTCTCTTCCAAATACATTAATTTGTGCTTTGGAATCCACAGCTCTAGTCGAAGCTGCTCCTTTAGGACTACAGAACCTGCTTTCGCAAGTCTCAAGAGATGTTAAATTTAAAAGAGAAAGAGAATATTCTAACTCTTTTGCTTTTATTGAAATTTCCGTTAAACCATTCTGAGCTATCATCAACAGCTTGTGTTTTTCATTATCCATATCATTAGATTCTGTTTGCCATTTTTCAAACATTTTTATAAATACACCTTCTTTAGGAAAAATCTGTTCTAGCTGTGAAGAAACATTTTCTAAGAAAAAACATGCCTGTGGTTTGGCAAGGGACTCTATGCCTAAGTTCCCTTGAGAAAATTTGGGATCATTCAGATAGGTGAATTTATTTGGATAAGTCAAATTGTGGTGAGTTGTATCAGATATTTCCTGTAAAACTCTATTCACCACTTCACTTGCTGCCATGACTTCATCAGATGATGAAGCATTTATACTTGCTATTACTTGATTTTGCTTCATATTTTCCAATTCATTCATAACTGTTTCTAGGATATTACTTACTATGTCTTTAGAATATAGCTTTAGTTCTGAAATGGGCAATTTAATTTCCAGTATGCTTTTGGCATCTCCTGTTGATAAGATATGTGGCAACCCGATAGTGGCAGCCTTTGACCTGGAAAATCTTGGAGATGTCTCTCCAGAATAGAACTTTGTCTTGTTCTTGGTTTTAGCACCATTAGGTCCTAATTGTTGTTTTGTTCTAAATTTGGGTACGGTGGTACTTTTTGATCTTACTTTTAAATTGGCTTTAAGACCAGCCTTAGGGCTGCTGTTAGGACTGGCTTTGTAGCTGGGTATTATTGTTCGAGGAGTTTTCACACCATTAGAACGAACTTGGAGGGATGAACTATTTTCTAGAGGCAGTGAGGCAAAATTTTTGATCTTCTGGAGAACCATTTGGACTAACTCTTTCCCCACTTGCAGTGGATAATATTGCCCAACTAGGTTCTCCTTGGAAGAGACATGCTGACTGCTAGTACAAGGATTAACTGGTGGTGTAAGATGCATAGGCGTTTCACTTCCTTTTCCTGCTTGTTTAGTGATCTTAGAGCATGATGGTTTCATTGGTGGTGCATCATTATTGACAGCTGCTTCTACTTTTCCCCGTTTAGTACTTTCATTTAAGTATTTCACAATGACAGAGTACATTTTCTCCAATACATCTTCAACTATGTCAGCTGCTACACAGTTAATATGTAATTGAGGGCAGCTCCTTTGTGTTAGGTCTGACGCTTTAATTTTAGAATTAGATAAAGAGTTGGGAGTTTCATTAAGTGGGGACAAATGGCTCATAATGTTCATCACTCTTTGATGTACCTTATTTAAAACTTCTTCTACAGCATTGATCAATGCAGATTTTTCTTTCTTTCTTTCTTCTTTATTTCTCATGAATATTTCTTCCAGAACCATTCTCTGGGTTTCCTTTTCTGATGTTACTTCTTGCTTTTCTAATGGGTCATTTGAAGGTGGAGATGGCTCAGTGTTATTTTCCTTCTTTTTTTCTCCCAAAGTCTTGTCATCTGATACAGTTAGTTGTGAAAACAAATTAGTTTTCTGTTTTGAGTAAAAGCTAATTTCCTTTTCAGATCTTTTATCATACAAAATCTGTAAGATACTACTAACAACTCCATTCACAATAATGTTTTCTTGTACTGGCATATTGTTTGAATATGGACACATCCTTTGGACTTGTAGATCTAAGTCATTTTTAATAAGCTTTAAAATGGCACTGGCAATGATGTCAGCATATTCTTTAAGACTAGTTTGTGATAGATGAATTGTGGATACAACCTTTTCTCTGTAACTGGTGAGAGTGGAATGTGTGAACATTTCATTATTCATAGGTCCACCCGATTCCACCTGGCTTAATTCATTAAAGATTTTGCCGTCTGGTTTTCCATTTTCCAGTCCTGGATTAGCAGATATCTTTTCTTTAGGTTGAAAAGCAAGAGTAATTAAAGCGTCTATTCTCTCTGTGGCAAAAGATTCTAACCTGTTAAAAATCGTCTTGGTAATGAAGTTAGCATTTTCCTCACATGGATCAGGAATATACTTTTTGCTCTCTTCTTTCTCTACTACACTTATTTGTTTATCAGCAGGATAGGATGACTGGAGATTTGCTGACAATGGGAGACTTTCTATTTTTTGTTCACTTTTTGAATCCATGACAATCGGTTTTTGGGCTTTTGGAAGCCAATCGTCAACGGTTAAAGACAATCTTGAAGAAATGGAATCCTTTGCGTTTATGACAAGCGTAAGAGTAGAATTGAGATTACTAAGGACAATGTCCACAGCATCATTAGATATCATAACAACATCTGATTTAGGAACTGTGAGTCTTTTTGTAACTTTATTTGAACTCTCAATGATCATTTCTGAATGTTTGCCATCTGTATTACAATTCACTGTAGATATGGTACGTGAGAGCTTATTTTGATCTAGTGTTTTTTCATAAATGTCACATAAGATATTTTCTATAGTATCCTGTATTTGGAACTGAAGGGCTTTTCGATAGTCAATCTTATTGAGCAGCTTTTCAATGATACTTTCCTGCTGGTCTGAGCGAGTATCTTTGTTAGAACCGACTTTTTCACATTTGCCTTTAGAAGACACAATATCTAACACCATGCTGACCACTTGACTTGCAATCTGTTCAGAAATTACAACATTGTGAGTTATGAAAGGACTTTGTATTTCTGTATCTAACTTATGCTTGATTCCTTGTAAAATTTTTCTTGCCACTTCTGTTGCATAATTATCTAACTTAGACAAAGGCAGTTGACACGTGGAGTTGGTCTGTATTGACTTAATATGATCCACTGATAAACTCACAAGCTTGTCATCAGAATATGAATCTTTATTTGATAACACTGTGTTTAATTCACACTTATCTTCCTGAAGAGGTGAAGTCAATGGAACTGTAAAACTCACATGGGGACCAAAAAGAGATTTTACTTTGGAAGTAGTGAAAGTTTCTAAGTTTGTTAATACTGTCTGTATAATATCTTCAACTACATTTACTGTGACCTCCTTATCAACACTGGTCCCAGACTGAAGAGTACACAGATCTCTGTCCAGTGCCGTTTTACAGGACTTTCCTCCATTTGTGTGTTCATGAAAAGAAACATTTGCTGAAAAGGTGATAGTTTTGTACCTACTTTTACCTGCATTTTTCTCTGACATGGCAGCTGAACAAAGCTTATGAAATACAATTCTGACAACATCATCAGTTACAATGCTTACATCTGCTTCAGACACTATAGGGCCTGTCATTGTATCTAGGAGTTGAACAGAGTTTTGAGCAACTGGTTCATCCACTTTGTGCAGGATGCTACTTAAATCAGAATGGGGGAGAGGAAGCATATTTAACTGATTGACAAAGGCATTTTGAAAAATTTCATTCAGAATATTTTTTATAATAGGCATAATGGGAGATTTTTCTGGCTCTTTGAGGTGGACTTCAATTTTATTCAAGACTTTTTCCAGAGCCCATTGTTTAAGGGGATCTGATTTCATTTCCTCTACTGGTAGGGGTTCTGCTTCAGTGAATTCTTTCTCTTCATGTACAGCATCTTCTAAGGAATCTGATTCACCTCCTCCAGGAAGAAGATTGCCATAAGTTGGCCTATATCTATACCTCTCAATACCTCTCTCTTCACATTCAGTGTCTTTAAAAATATCCAAGGATACTGCATCTAAAATTAAGTTAACTGTATCTGTTATTATTTGTTTCTCAGGTGGTGGACTTTTTACACTTGCCCTAAAATCTGATGAGCTCACATTTAATTCATTTTGAATAGCCTTCAAAAGAGCACTTGATAACTTCTTTGCATGTGTGTATAGAGCAGACTGTAATGGCTCCTCATGTGTGTCTGTGAAAGCACTGGTACTCTCACATCCACAAGCCATTTTATTGATTTTTTTATTTCCATCATTAACAGTTTCCAGAGTTTCTAAATTACCATTGGCAAAGCTTTCCAGTTTGTCAAAAACCATATTGAGAATATCTGAAGCTACAGCTTTCAGCTTCTTTGGATGTGTTTCCCTTACTCTCCTTGGTGTGGAAGCCAAGGAATTAGTATTTTTGGCCACGCTACTAGACATCTCATTGGTACCTTTCTGTATTGTCCCAGACACCAAGCTGGAGATTATGTCAGTGCACTTGGCTATTTCCTCCAAAAGAGAAGCAAATGATAAACTATCAATATCAAGATTACGTGAAACAGTTTTATATCCAGAACTTTGAGGACTGCTATCTGTTTCAATGCCACATAATTTTGCAATGATATATTCCAAAATTGTTTTGGAAATAAGCTGAATATTGGACTTCAAATCAGTGGCTTTTTGCTGAGTCTCATCAGTCTTCTCTCTGTTAATACATGCAGAGTCATGAGAGTGAACATTGACTCCTATGAACTTGCATAACATTTCATATAAGAGTTCCCCAATGGTATCTAACACTTGTAATCTGACATTTTCTTTGAGATCCTTTCCAGCAATGACACTATGGAGAATACATGGAGAGCCTAAACATTTGTGAAATTCAGTAGGGGCTGACTTATGAATCCTAGGATGATGAGAAAAAGCACATTTTTTATCTTGACTATGTGACAAAATGTTTTGTTTATCAACCCTGTAGGATCTAAATGATGTTTCAGGCCTTGATTTATCTGCCGGGTGTGGAACATCGCTGTGATCTTCATTTTGACTTGATAGCAAATTGCAAATATAAGTTACCAGAGGACTTGCGCTACTATCATCACTGAGATTTGTGACAAGGGACTGTGATTTCTTACCAGGGTCAGCAAAAACGTTTTCAGCTGTAAAGGTTTTGGTAAAGTCTCTCTCACTAAGATTTAGGTTTTTCTGATGTTCCAGTTCATTCTGAATAGCATTTAAAACAATATTTACCACTTTAGTTGTATAAGCACTGAGTTGGGATCGTAATGAAGATTGTTTAGTAAGTGAAGGTTTGAATCTCTCTTGCAATTTTGGGCACACAAGTAACTTTAATGCTTTAAAAACAGTATTAATAATCTTATCATTAATATCTTCTAAAGATTCAGGATCATCTTTTCCAGATTCTAAAAAGGAAGGCTGTGATGGACCTATGTTGAGTGAAGACAAATGCTTCATCTTCTTTTCACTGTCAAACCATATTTTTAATGACTTCTTATTTGGTGCTTTCTTGGCCATGTGAAGAGTGTCAGAATAATCTAGGGAAGTTTGACGAACTGATGATGAAATTCTATCTTTGGTCGTATTGGTGATGTGGCTTGAAGCCTTAAGAAGTATATTTATTACAGAATCTGTTAGTTCTTGAGCCACTGTTCTGATTTCTGACATAGAGAATAATTGGTACATCCGATCTTGATCTAACAGTGCTCGGCATTTTCCTGCACTTGAAGTTTCATTGCCATTTTTGCCATCTAAGTCATCAGGAGGAAGAGAAGGTATGTCCTTGATCATATCTATTAAAATGCTTTTCACTAGCTTTTCTGAAATCTTTTGTATTTCTTGTTTTTGTTCTTGGCTGAAAATAAAAATATCTTCGTTCAAATAATGTTTGTCCTTTAAAAGATCTTTATTATCAAAAAATGATCCCCGATCACCACATGCAACTTTGTATTGAGAAGAAGTCTTTGTAGGTGTCTTGATATTTGTTTCATATTCAAAACAAGTATTCTCCTTTGTAAAGGAACGATTGATCATCTTTTCTTGTAACTTTGCTCTTTCATCTTTGAAAGATGAGTCAAGCACATTTTTCACAATTGTGTCTATTTCTTCACTATCATCTTCAGAATAAAGGACCATTCCAGGAACATTAACTGGTGAAAATCGTCTTCCAGACCTACGACCGTTGGATACTCTAGTGCTAGTGAGTCTGTACTTGTCATCAGTATTCGAAGGATTTCTCAGTCTGGACTGTTTATTTTTTTTAACAGTTGGTTTTACTGATTCCCGGTGGAGCTGAGAGAAGATATCGTCGAGTACTTGAAGGAGCAACACTGTTTCTTCAGAGGCAACAAGCCTCTCACTATTAAGTTCAGATTGTACACAACCTAGTATAATGTTGATTATTTCCTCTATGTAGCGAACCAAAGAAGAACGAGAGAAAATACTTGATATTAAGTTTTTAATTTCCTCTTTGAGAGTTAAGTTGGCTGTATCAAGCTCTGTTCTGGAGTTCTTGTGCTCAACTTTTTGAAGATACGTAAATGTTGGGTCTGCCAGATATTGCTGATAGATAGGCTTAGTTTTATCTTCACGCTGAGGAGGTTCTTTTTGCCTACATGATGCAAGAGTCATTAGCTTTTCTAAAATAGTATGCACCATATCCTCTGCAATATCACGCATGGGCTCCAAAGTATAAGGTGGAGAAGCTTCTTGGAGTTCATGTGATGAAGTCAAATACTTGTCATCGGGTGTTGGATCTGGTTTACTGTGTACTGACACATCTTCTTGTGAAAAGGCCTCCATGCATTTTTTCTCAACCGCAGACTGTAGCTTCTCAAGCATATTTTCCACAATCTCAGTAGCTACTGAGCTGATATCAACATAAGGGCCCAATTTTTTTTTGTCAGCTTCACATTGGTCAACAAACACTTCAGCAGTTACGGAAGAAAGAGAGGGAATGGCCTGGGTTAAATCAGACATAATTTCTTCAAAAATGCTTCGTAAAATCAATTCTGTTTCCCCTTTTAAATGACACTTGAAATTAACAAAAACATTCTTTAAGTTCTTTAACTCATTTAAGACTTTTGAATTTTGATCAGAAGACAGTGAAACCCCTAAGCTATCTGTTTCCGTGGTAGCATCCTTAGATATTTTTGTGCTTGTTTCAGATGTCAAAAGCTGACTATCAGATTTACAGCTTCTGACCTTAGGGTATGTGTATAGCCTTCTGGATTTATCATGTTTAAGATCAGATAACATAGAGGGCCTTTTGGTGTGAGATACTTTTTCCATAAGTATTTTTTCCTTCGGAGTAGTAGGGAGGTTTAATGGCTTAGCTGGTTGCTTTACTGGTATGTCACTTGCCAAAGTATAGGCCTCCGTCTGAAAGGTTTTATTTGTAGAAGTGTAGCTACCATAGGTAACCTCATCACTGCAAGTGCTACAGAAACTTGAGCTCTCTGAAGAGAGGACAGACTCATCGGACACAGAGTACATATTATTTCGCAACCTTTCTTCATACTTTGTGATGGCCGGATATAAAATACTAGTCACTGTAGCCACAACCCAGGTCATTATATTATGAAATATACTGTTCAGTTCTTCAGTTGTTACCTGGAAAGAAGGCATACGAGGGTGGAGAGAGAGCAATTTAAAAATGTATTCGTTCACAGAAGCTAATATTTCATTCTCTATATCACATAATGTGTAAATGGAACAGCATCATGGTTTTTAACAGAACATAGGAAAGAATATCTAAAAATTTTAGATAAATTTCAAGTTGATTTACTTTGTACTGGATAAAAAAATATGCATGCGGTGCTATTATTTCTTTAATATTTTTTGCTTGGATAAATGACCTTGAAATAAAAAGAAGAATAATCAAATTGCTAGGCATATAGTAAATATAGGCTTTAAAAAAGGAAATGTGGGTTTTGTGACACAGCATTTTATATAAAAGTATACTATTTCTAATAAACTACTCATCAAAACAGGACGTTACATCTGTCTTGCGGGTCAGAGAAAGTGAGACCATCCCCTGATGTAAGGGCATGTCTGTGATCTTGACACTTGGATGTTAGTAAAGATAATTATGAAACAACAATAATAAAAGCTAATGAAATTTTATAGGGATTGAATGGTTTTATAACAAAAAAAGTTATTCATGCAAACTGTCTTTGATAGGAAGTAGTGTTCTTTGACAGATTATGAATTGAGCAAACAAATTGGATAGGAAATAAGCGCCACATTGCATCTAGGAAAGAGGAGAACTGAATAACAACAAATGACAGGGAATTAGTGGACGCCTCTGTGTGATCCAATAGTAAAAGCTCAGAGAGTCCGGTTTCCTTAATGGTCAATGTGACTGTCACAGAATATACTTTGATAGTTCTATACACTTCTACTTGCATATTACAAACATACTATGGGTTTAAAAACTTGTCTATAATAAAAATTAAATCTGTTTCTTACAAAAAAATTAAAATCTGTTATCGTTACAAAGGCTGTAAAAACAATTAAGTGGTGCCAGAACCTATGAGACTGGCGAGGCACTAGAGTTAAAAGGATTTCTAGAATGGTGCTGTCAGCACCCACAATATTGCCCAAACTCGACTAAAATTGCTTAGGTTTAAGACCAACATTCAAAGAAAAGTTTACACTGTGCTATATCTTGTTGTTGTTAAATGCCATTGAGTCGTAGACAACTCATAGCAACCCTATGGACAAAAGACTTGAATAGTTGTATAACTTTCATCATTTCTCTAAGTTTGTAGAGTTTCCAGAGGCAGGCTGTTTCAGAAGTGGATGCCACTCCTGCTTCCAAAACGGTTTTAAACTAGCAGTTCCACCAAACACTCTCCTCTGTGGACAACCATTGGCACACTTGAATATATATATATAAAAAAATTAATGACAACCTATAGTGTAAATTCTTACTTCATTAAGCACTAGTAAAGATATGAACTAAAACACTTCTAAATATTAAAGCTAAATTTTAGTAGAAAATCCACTACAATATCTACAGGGAAAATATTCAATATATATTATTTTACATCACTTTTGCTGCGATGGATAGTTTTCAGATAACTCCCTCCTTTCCCTTGCCCTCCCACTTTCTGAGATGCTAACATTTTTCATAGAAACTTCGACTGCTGTAAAATGAATGACAAAATTAAAGGCAATGAAGGAAATGGACTTAATATAAATAAATAGGTGGTTATTAATTAGGTTATTAATAGATTTCATCCTGTAATTATACATTAGAAAACTACAATTCATATATTAACGGTTAATTTTATGATACATACTTTGTTTGACAAGCAATTTTGTACGAGGTTGTCTTTTCTGTAAAGGAAAGTCGATCAGTTATTACTTAGGGCCAAAGATTTATGTAGCTTTTATCATAAGTCCTACCAAATAAGTATATTCTGGAGAAGGTGAAACCACAATGATGTAATTAATAAACAAACAAACAAACAAACAAATAAATAAATAAATAAGTCTGAACGGCAATAAGTAAAATATAATTCAATCATAAAAATAATAATATATAACATAGTTAATAAAGAGGTCAAAGATTACACTTCTGAGTTACTTTTATTTATTTTAGCGAACATGGACTCTACTTGTTTTAGTTCTAGTTTCCAAAAAGAAGAGCAGCATTAATTTTTCCGTTTTCTTACGTGTAAAATTTGCTTATTAAAGTTCCTGTTTTCCTCAAAGCATAAAATTCTATTTTGAGAAACAAAAAGACTTAGAATTACAGTTCTGATTTTGACAGAAGAAAAAGGAAACCTTACTGATTTCAACATAGAAATTGAATTAGATAGCAAGAGTCCTTCCTGGACCAGTATCCTATTGAAAATATGAAAATTACAGCATTAAAACTAATACTAGTTATATATTCTTTTTCCTTTAGACTAATTTATTTTCCTGGAATCTAGTTTCCTGGTCTCTTTCTTCTAGATATTTTGCAAGCTAACTCCTTAGGTAATCTTTTTTTTTTCCTTCCCTTGTCCTCATTCTATAGGAATGAAATGGAACTCAGTGAGTCCTATATAGTCAGTGATATTTCTCAAGAGGTTTCTGCCTCAAAGGTATATACTTAAAAACAAAGTAAAATACATAAAATGGAACGAATCCAATGACTGAAAATGCAAAAACTTGAACTCATTGTCCCTGAGTCAGAATGAACTCATAACTGACCCTCTGATGAGTTTTCATTGTTGTTGTTATGTGCCATCAGTCAACTGTGACTCACAGCAACACTGAAAACAGTGCCTCTGAACTCTTTCCTATCCTCAACACTTGAGCCCATTGTTACAGTCACTTTGTCAGTCCATTTTGTCTTCCTCTCTTACTCTGTTTTTAGAAGCTGAAATTTTCATAAGAGATTATCCGTCTTTCTCCTGCAAAAGGGGTAGGGTGGCAAATTCCAACTGCCAAAGGAACACCAACCCACTGTTGGGATAATAGGCCAATTCCCTACCCACTAGGCCACCAGACCTATACTGGGATCAAGAAGCTATTCTCTGAACAGAGCAAGGGAATACTGCATGGTTTAAAATCAAGAGGCGTATGTCAAGGCTATATCCTTTCTCCATACGTATTCAATGAGTATAATTAGCAAATCATTTGAGAAGCAGCACTTTATGAAGAAATATGTGGCATCAGGATCTGAGGAAGACTTAACAAAAACCTGCATTATGCAAATGACACAACCTTTGCTTGTGAAAGTGAAAGTGAGAAGGACTTGAAAAACTTTCTGCAGAAGATCAAAGGTGACAGCCTTCAATATGGATTACATCTCAAGATGATGAAGACAAAAAATCCTCACCACTAGATAGAGAGGCAACATCATGATAGATGGACAAAGATTGAAATTGTAAATAATTCCATCTTACTTGGATTCACAATCAAAATTTTGATACTAGCAGTCAAGAAATCAGACGATGTATCACATTGGGGAAAGTCTGCTGTCACAGGCCTCTCCAAAACATTGAAGAACAACAATGCCGTTTAAATATCAAGGTGCACTCAATTCAGGACATGGTCTTTCTATCACTTGCTATGCATCTGAGAGCTGGACAATGAATAAGTGTGACAGAAAATGAATCAATACCTTTGAGTTGTGGTATTACAGAAGAGTACTGAATATATCATGCACTGCCAAAAGAAAAACAGCTAAATGTTGGGGAATGTGCAGATAGAGTGCGCCTTAGATGAAAGGATGATGAGGCTTCATCTTACACACTTGGTGCATATCATTAAGAGAGGTTATTCCTTGGAAATGGACATCAGGCTTAAAAGGTGGAGGGTCAACAAAAGAAAGGAGATGGACTGACATGAGGACTCAAGTTTGTCTGAGATGATGAGTATGGCACAGCATAAAATAGGGTTCAGATCTGTTGGTCATTGGATCACTATGAATTGTATTCAACTTCTGGCATTTAACAACAACCACAATGAAAAAAAGAATGATACTAACCAAAATGGTAAATAAGAGGTCTGAAAGTTCATTTCTGTGTAAATATAATAAAAAATTGGTAATTATAATAAGTAAACAAGACTTAAAAATTTCTAGTGGCTTAGTGGTAAGTAGTTGCACTGCCAAATAAAGGCGTGAAGTTTAAACTCACTAGCTGCTCTGAGGAAGCAAGATGGATTACCACCTTCCAATGTGATTTACCACCTCTGAAGACCAACTAGAGAGGGAGCTGTGAGTTGGTTCTGCCTTGGCGGCAGGCATATCAAAACAGAAAATGAGACTGTCAAAAATTGGCCAGAAAACTTTTTCCCCAGAACCTTGGAAATTAATGAAAGGTTTATACAACTCAAGATGGTTCAATTAAGAAAAACAACCAAATCTTGAAAACAACCCTAACTTTTATGGTGGTTTAACCTGCTCTATTTCCAATCTCCTCTCACGAATTTTCAGTAATTACTAGGCAAAAGAAAAGCAGCCTTGAAGTCACACAGAGACACAGAACAGAGTTGGAGAACCTTCAAAGCCTCATGCCAGAAGTGTCTTTATTCAATCAATCTGCTATTTCCCTGAAAGGGAGCTCTGGTGGTCTAATGGGTAAGGAGTTTTATTACTATCTCAAAGACAGTCAGTTTGGATCCAATAGGGGCTCCAAAAGGAAAATGATGGGAATATCCTCCCATGTAATTTACAGTCTCTGAAAACCCACTGGAAGGCCAGCTATGAGTTGGTTCTGACTTGATGACATATAAAAACAATGTAACAGTGCTTAAACGATACAATTTTTAAACAAAAATATTTGAAGAAAGTAGGGTAGAACTAAAAGTGAAGACAAAGAGAAATAAGAAACCAAGTGAGATTCTGAAACACTTGCTAGACAGATTCTAATTCACAATACAGTCAATGCAAATACTATTTAGATTTCATTTATATTCTAAATAAAAAATTTCTAACTCAAAAAATGCAAATAGAAATAAAATTATAAATATGGACATGCACAAGTAGGAGGGAATTCAATCCACAAATGTATGGAATGAAATTCAACTGGTCAAAAAACAATGAAGTGGAAATATTTTAAGGGAATGAAAACAAAAGTAAATTATACTAAAACATGTGGATTCAGTGAAACCTGGTGATGGAAAACAATTTAGAGCAGTAGATATTTACATTATAAAATAGGAAGAAAGATCCTAATTTTCCACTGGAAAAACAAGAGAAAAAGAAATCTAAAATAAGTTAAAAATAATAGCATGAAAAAGAGCAGAGAAAACAAATCAGACTGTAAAATCAGCTCTTGGAAAAAAAAACTATTATTAAAAACACTCCTTCATGAATTTTTGGTGGACAAAAAAGAAAAGGAAGGCACTTTTAACAAACTCATTCTAAAAAAACCTGAAACTCATTGCTATCAAGTTAAAACCAACCTATGGCTGACCCTCCAGTAGGTGGTGGTGTTAGGTGCTGTTGAGTTACTTGTAACTCATAGCAACCTTATGTACAACAGCTCTGAACCCTGCTTTATCATGAGACAACCTCATTGTCTCTGACACTCCATCTCTTCCAGTGTCTTTCTCACTTGCACTGTTCCTCCACCTTTCCAAGTATGATATCCCTCTCCAAGGACTGATCCCTCCTTGCAACATGTCCAAAGTATGTCAGATGGAGATTTAGAATCCTTTCCTCCGAGGAACAGTCTGGTCTCACCTTCCCTAGGATGAACTTATTTGTTCTAGCAGTCCATGGCATATTCAATAGTCTTCTCCAGCACCACAATCCAAAAAGCATCAATTCTTCTGTCATCCTTAGTCATTCTCCAGCCCTCTGGTACATAACAATTTATTGTGATGACCATAGCTGGATCAGGCACACTTTAGTCTCCAGACTAACATTGTTGCTTTCAGTACTTGGAGAGGTCTTTGACAGCAGATTTTCTCAGTACAATTTGTCTTTTGATTTCCTGGCTATGGGTAAGAAGAGTATTGATTGTGGAGCCAAGCAAACTGAAACATTTAACAATTTCAATCTCTTCACTGTCTATCATGATGTTGCCAATTGGCCCAATGGTGCGAATCTTTGTTTTCTTTATGTTGAACTTGCATCCATATTGAAAGCTAAAGTCCTTGACCTTCTGTAGCAAACGTCTCGGGTCTTCCTCAGTTTCAGCAAATATCTGCATAATGCAGGTTGCTGAGAGTCTTCTTCCAATCCTGATGCCACATTCCTCCTCATAGAGTCCAGCCTCCTGGATGATCTAGGCGTTAGGAGGTTGTAAATAACACAGGAGGATATTATTTCTGTTTCTCCCATGAATTTAAGCTGGCGACCTTTCTGTAGTAGCTCAATTCCATGTGGTTTTACCACCAGAGTTCCTGAGTTGCGTATTAGTTTACTAATTTGACAGTTAAAGCACTGTTGCAATGTGGGACTGTATTTGGTGTCCCAGATAAAATATGTATGAGAATTGAATTTAAAATCCTTTTGTTCTGTAATCCATCACTGTAATAAAAAAAATGTTTGTTTGTTTTAAAGTGACTTTCATACTTATCTTACCAAGAATGAAATCGTTGGGCAGATTCATAGACTTCCCAGCTTCTTACCTTCAATCAGTTATATATGTTTTTGTCAGATTAATTTATACTGTTTCTTAATATGACTATATAACACCCTCTTGTAATCTAATAACCAAAATACAAGTTTCTACAGTTTGCAGGTGGTAGATTTCCTTCCCTATTCTCAATCATCTAAATGCACTATTTAAGTATTGCAACTCATCTGTCCCTATGGAATCATATTTTGTCTTTGTTCATTTGATCTTCAATGCCTATCTCTATTGTATCTACCTTACTGAATATATCCTTCATGTGAGCAATCCATAGCGGAACAGAGGCAACTTTCCAACATAAAGTCTTAGAAACAGGGGACTAAAAACAAAAGGAAGATGATCTAGATGTGATAAAAGTAAAAGTAATATTTTTTGCTTTTGCTTGTGCTCTGACTTGGCAAATTACTACTGTGGATGTAGAGCAGTAGAGAAAGCTCCGTGCCATATGAGAGTACTCAAAATACTGCCTATGAAAAGATTAATACGATTTTGTAATTCTTTACACTAGGGGAGAGGAATTTAAAAAGGCAAGAACTAACACTTTTTGACCTTCACTAGTCTTTGTTATAGAGAGTCAAGCCCTTATGTTTTCAGTAAATAAAATGTGGATTATTCATTGTCTATACATAATCACTATTTTTTTACCTTTTCCAACTGCTTTCAGTTGAAGTAGTAAATTTAACCCCTCCATCTATTACTCTGCTGTGTACCCTATAAATTCTCAGACTGATAGACAAAATTACATCCTAAAAATCGTTCTTGCAGGAAACGTGGTCTGAATAGTCTGCATCATTTTCAAAGAAACTTGGGCTTTTTACTTGAACCTCTTTGCTTTTTTTTTTAAGATAATGAGTTGAGTCTAAAATAATCTCTTTCTCCTTCATTCCTTCTTTTTTCTTCTTCTTCTCATTAAAATCACATAAGGTTTAATGAGTGAAATGTCTACTAGCCTCCCTCAGAATTTCTTAACCAGAAGCCTGAAGTATATCCATCATTAGAGATTGAAAAAATGGGTTGGCATTGCAAATAAGAAGGAAAGAACTCATTGGTAATGTCCAGCAAACTATTATACTTTCTGTAGACAGACCATGGACTGGTAAATGTTGCAAAGAGGAGAAAGGAAAGAATAAGTCAAAATCTTGGGAAGCAAACTGAGGAGATTTTTAAAAAGTAGAGAGCATGGTGGAATTATATTTGGAAGTGGAATTAAGCTTGGAACACAGGAGTGTATAGAATCATGTAGGGATAAAAAATATGAAAAAAATGAATTATTAGGGCTCTGGTAGCCTACTGATAAGGAGATACTGCCAACCCAAAGACATCCGTTAAAAATTCACCAGCTGCTCCACGGGAGAAAGATAGGCAATCTCCTCTCCCGCCATTTACTGCCTCAGAAAATCACCAGAGGGTTAGCCTTGAGAGTTGGTTCTGATTTGATGGTACAGAACAGTTTACAACTGACAAAGTGACTGACTATAACAATGGCTTGAAAATATCAGAGATGGTGAGGATGACACAGAATAGGGCAAGGTTCAGCTCTGTTGTTTATAAGGTCTCTATGAATAACAGTCAACTAGATGGCAAAACAAAACCAACAACTGATTACAGTTTAAATTTAGTGCTTATATAAGTTGATCCAACCATAGAGAACCCAAATACAATGAGCTTGAGTGTGTCAGAAATGGTGAGGATGGCACAGCATAGGAAAGTATTCAGATCTGTTGTTCACAGGGTCACTATGAATAGTACTCTACTCAACAACACCTAACAGCAGCTACAACAACATATAGAACTAGAAGCAAGAATCCAAACAAATAATGTTATTATTAAAATATATAGCTACACAACAAAACTATATACTTACGTATTTGAGAGAGTAGGAGAAGAAATATCCTTTTTGGTAGTATTAACATAAGGTCCTATTACCCAAAAAAGAAAATAAAAATTAGTTTGCAAATTTCCATCACTCCTCGTAAAACTGCAATTATTATCCATTAATAAATCTTTATTGTGCTACCTTGTTGTTGTGTATATTGTTTCTGGTGTGTGGTTGTTTTTGTGGTGTGTGTTTTTTTTTTTTTTTAATACCCAAGACTTCCTATTATGGTTATAATGAAGTCCAAATTCTCTAGTAAGGCACAAAAGCTTGTTATTATTTTATATATAGCTACATCATCAATCCCATTCTGGGCTAGTCTTATTTTAATTATATTTTGTTTTGTTTTCTATTTTGATTATGTTTTATTCATTATTTTATATTGCTATTCCCTTGTTCAACTTAATCCCCTTTTCTCCCTTCTCATTTCAGGTAATTCTACAAAATTAATTCTATATGTACACATTTCCTCAGATTGTTATATTTTTGGTGGCATACAAGAATGTACTTCCCCCCCCCAATCTCTGCTTCTCACATCTGTTAAGACTTTAAGACTGATTATCTCTGTGCATAACCCTTTTCTTAGCTTCTAATAATAGTAGTCTTCTATTATAACTACCCCTCTGTGACTGATTTACATCACTCAGAATATTTGTTCTAGTTTCATTAAGTTGTGAAGTATTTTACACATTTTTGCCAATGTTGTGATGCATAGAACTCCACTGCATAAATGCTTATTGATGGTCACTTAGGTTGGTCTAGCTCTTTGCTATTACAAATAGTGCTGCAGTAAACATGGGTGTGAGTCTATCAAGTCATATTGCAGCTCTTATTTCTTTGGGATATATATATATACCTTGTAGTGGGATTGCTGACATTTCTGTTTCCAAAATTCCAAGGAAATGCCAAACTGCTTTTCCACTCTGGTTGTGCCATTTTACATTTCCACTAATGTTGTTGTTGTTGTTATGTGCCATCGAGTCGTT